TGAAGTCAGCTTGTGTGCAGATGGGGTCATACAGGAAGAATGAAAACTGTCGAAGGCTTTGCTCAGCATGGTTTCTTTTGGATGTTCAATCTGATAAATGTTGTAGTGAATGAGAAGTGGATGAAATCTTTTTTTTTTTTTTTTTTTGGGAAGGGAGTGAGGAGAGTGCAGGTGTCGCCAAAGCGCGGAGTCCGGACGCGGGCCCAGGGCACCGTAACTCCTCCTACAGGTCGGGGCTGGCACGAGACCGAGGCTTCCCCAACTGGGGAGCGCGTGGACCCAGGGGCAGCACCACGTCCAAGCCTGAACCAGCGTGCCTCTCCCTGCGAGGCGTGGGGGCCGTGGGAGCCACATACCTTGGCTGTGAGCTTCGCTGAACTGCCAAGGCTGGACTGGAGCCGCCGCAGAGGGGGGCACCATTCTCGATCAGCGCTCTTGAGCAGACCAGTAGCATGGAGGCTCGCTCCACAGACCGCTTCTCCCGCTGAATGGCCACCTGATCGCAATCCTAGTTTAGACCTAAAAACATAAACACTCAGTTCATCTTTTGAAAGCAGTACATTACAAGATGTTTCGTCACAATAACAGAATGACAGTGTTACTCGGCTACATAAACATGTGTTCCATGCTTTTCTCTCCGCTAAACCATGCACGTGTATTTTCCTATATCCCTAGTGCTGCTAAATTCACAACCTCCAACCACGTTGACAGACCTTCTCCATCTCTTTTTTAGTTTGGGTGCAGTGGCTCCTACATGTAATCCAGCACCTTGGGAAGCCGAGCGCGGGCAGATCATTGCGGCCAGGAGTTGTTGAGACCAACGCCTGGCCAACGTGGTGAAACCCCGTTCTACCAAAAATACAAAATATATTGCGGAATGTGGTGGTGCCATGCCTGTAGTCCCAGCTACTTGGGAGGCTGAGAGCGGAGAATCCGTTAAACCTGGAAGGCGACGGTTGCAGTGAGCCGAATCGCATGACTGCAACTCTCAGCTCCGCTGGGCGACAGAGCGAGACTCTCGCTCAAC